ATTAAACTTGATTTTTATAAAATTTAACATATTTATTTTTATGTTTTTATTAGTGTTAAATTATTATTAACTAGGTCTTTAAGATTGTAGTTCTAACTAAACATTTAAAAAATTTCTATGATAAATAAATATGTCATATTTAAAAACATATATTTTTATAAAAAAGTTAGGTTTAAATCTATTAAATTATAATATAACATAGTTTGACATAGTTTATTTTTATCTTTAATCGTAATTGTAGATATAAAAACTGTAAAAAAATAATTATAATATATATTTATATTTTTAAAAGTTATATATAAAATTTTTAATATTACAAATATATGAATAAGTATTGCCTCCACTATCTAAAATTTCTGGATCCGTCACTGGTTAAGAGACTTAAAGAGACTTCTATATAAAAGGTCGTTTTTAGAATTATGTTTTATATGAACATTGAGTTCTTTTCCTTTGTATATAGTAAATATTGTACAAGTTTATTTTTGTCTTTATATTTGTAAGATATTTTTATCTTTCTTTATAGGTTATACCCTTAGGATTTTAGGGTATGTTGTTTGGGGACTTTTACTTCATTTGATCTTGTATTAAAGATTATAGATTTTCATTTTTTTAGTTTTAGTAGTGGAGTAACAAGTAACAATTTTGTAGGTGAAGCTAATAATTGGGTCTTTAGTGGGCTTAGGCCAAATTTTACATACTAGGCTTATTTTCCTCCATTTAATCTAAGGAATTGATTTAGTTAGATCTCACAATCATTTGGGGAACCTAACTAAACCAATTCCAAAGTTTTTGGATTGGATTAAGTGAAGGAAAACAACCAAGGCCACCCCTCCCTCTCCTTGGTTGAATTGATCTAGCTTTTCCAACACACGTTGTCACTTGGCTTACTAAGGGGAAAAGGTGACACTTGGCACTATGATTGGCTCTTCTAGATCTAAGTGTGTCCTCCTTGTCTCCTAGGAGACAAGATGACACTTGGCACTCAATGATTAGCTCATTTAAATCTAAGTGTTCTTATCTTATCTCTACCTTGTCTAGCTTGCACTACAAGCTTCTCCACCACTATATATAGGTTCTATTACATGTAAAACTTACTTTTGATGCATAATGAGATTTTGGCCAAAACTTTTTCTTTGATTTCTCTCTCTCAAAAGTCTAAATTCTCTCTTTGATTTACTTCCAATTCTCTTATCCTCTTTCTAAGAGTGTGGTGAGAGTTAAAGTGGTTTATCTTCTACCTTAAAGTGGCACCACTTGAAGAGAGTTCTTCATCTTTGAAGATGAGTCCATAGGTTTCCTCCTTCATTGGAAACCTTGAAGAAGCTTAAGGAGTATCAAGAAGTCAAAGATCTAAGAAGAAGCTTGAAGAGAGTTCTTCACCTTTGAAGGCGAGTCCATAGGTTTCCTCCTTCATTGGAGACTTTGAAGAAGCTTAAGGAGTATCAAGAAGTCAAAGATCTAGGAAGAAGCTTGAAGGAGAAGCTTCATCAATCAAGCATCTCCTTGAGGCTTTCATCAAAAAGCCATGAAGAAGGTAGTCCAATTCTCCATAACTTTTTCCTAACCCTTCCAATTTTTTTCATATATGACTCCATATGTGAAAAAATCAAGCAATTATAGAGAGAAAGTATAGTGTATGGTGTGTCACTTCCAAGTGGAAGATAAACAAGAAATGATGAACTTGTTACAAGAAGAAATTTCTTAATAAAGGTTATTAAGGTAAAATTTCTTCGAGAGAACAAAACTTTGAAAAGAGAATTTTTAGAAACTCAGTTCTCATACATATACTCAAAGTAATGTTCATATTACACAAGGTCCTATATATAGTTTGGTGCCTTGTGGTAGAAGTTAAGCTACATATAGAGTTTAGTTCAAATTTGATATTTAAATATGAATTTTCACTCCCTAAAAGTGTCAACATCCTATATCTAAAAGAGTTAATGAGAGCTTACCACATGGAAAGGTGCAAAAGGTGAGATAGAGTGTATTAGTATAAAAGGGAGTGTACAAACAAGCATGTCAAAAGTGTGACTATTGTATGGAACATATAACTTGGTGGGTTTGTTTGAACTAATAAGAGAAAGGCACACATACTAGGAGAATTCATGCACTCCTTGGAGAAATACTCTTCACTCTCATGCCCCAAAACAAGCCTAACAAGCACATATCCAAATACTAGTTGTATCCCCTTAAAATACTAAATACACACCTAAAGAGAAAATTACAAGGAAATAAATTTCTTAACTATTTCATCCAAAAATACAAAGTTACAAATAAAATAAAATATTTACAAAGAAGAGTAAGTAGACTACTAAAATGACTCAAAGCTCAACATGAGCTTGAGCCCTCTTCCTTCAAGTCTATTATGGCCTCTTAGCTCCTTTGGTATTTGGGCACTAGGCATGATTACATCATTTTTTGTCTTTATAACTTTATAATTTTTTTTATCAATAGGAAACAGGAATCACAATAAGGTTCTATTTAATTTTTCACTACTAAATCGTTCCTAATAGTTATTTTCTATGTTTAATTACTTTCTATCTTTATAGTTTTGTAAATTTTATATTTTAATTTATATAATTAAAATCATTTCATTTTAATTTTTTTATATATATAATCTTTTGTTTCTTTTTAATCCTCGTTTATATTACTAAAAAGATTGAAAGGTAAAGTTTATTATAAAGACTAAAATAAAACAAAAAATTATATATATATATATATATATGAATTAAAATGAAATTTTTTAATTATAAGCTAAAAAGGCAAAATTCATGTGAATATAAGAACTCACAAAGTAATTAAACCAATTATATATATATATATATATATATATATATTAGAATAAATATTGTAAGATTGTATATTTTATGTTTTGATTGCATGGTGATGTGTTATATTAATTTATGATGTTATATCTTACTATGTTGAGTTTGTGTTTTGTTGTTTGAGTTCTAAAGGTTAAAGAATCCTTGAAAGGTTAAGTTCTAGATCAAGGATGATTGTTTCTTCTTTTAACTTCACCAAAAGCATCCAGAGCTTTCTCTAAAAGGGATTTCATGTTGTAGAAGTTGAAATTTGAGCCAAAAGCTTGGAATTATAGAGAGAAGTTGATTGTTGAGGGCTTTGAGAGTTCTATCTTATGGAGAAAAGAAAGAAACTTGAAGGAGGATTGAATAATGTCTATCAAAAACTCACTTTTTTTGAATCAGTGAAGTAGTATTAAACGCGATAGGAGTGCAAACGAAGAGTTAATCAAAACAATACAAAGTATTTTATACTAGTTTGTCTCAACTATTGAGACTACATCCAATTCTTGATCAAACCCGATCAAGTTCAACTATCTTTGCAAAGTTACAAGTATTCTTTCACAAGTTACTTCTGGCTTAACCTAAGCATTCTTTGACTTGTCTCTTCAAGCAACTACTTAAGTATTTTTTAACATAAAGTCTCTCAAGACTTCAAACAACCAAGTATTATTTTACAGTCAAGCCTCTCCAAGCTTTAAACAATCAAGTATTATTTCATAATCAAATCTCTTTAGACTTAAAGTAATAACACAAAGTTAAAGTTAGGTAAAATAATGTTATTTTGTCTTACTATCAAGACGTGATGCAATTAATTAAATGCAAAGTCTTCTTATAAAAAGAATGAATATGATTTTTATTATATTTGTTCTCTCAATTTTTTTCTTCTGAATTTTAAACTTCCTTTTATAGGGCTTTAATGAAGATAATCATTATAAATTGTTAAGTTAAAAGACGATCTTAGATCCCTCATTTTTCATAAGTTTTAATGATAACAAACACTACGTCTTTTGGTAAGAAAACATTTTAAAAAATTTATTGTTTTAGACTTGGTAAGACAATGTAGCGTCTATAAGACGAAACAAATTAGACGAAGTATACAATTGTTCCTAACATCCATTATTTATTTTGACTAATGCTTTTAAATTTTCAAATGAATGCTTTATACCTTAACAGATTGAAAGTCGTCTTGGAACTCACACTCTATTAAAAGTGTATAAAAGCATTTAGAGCATCAGATGATTTGAGTTTGATGAAACATAATGTATAGTAAGATGATATTAAGTAAGACAATGCATTTAATTGTTAGTCTGAAATACATTTTAGATGTAGATGGTCTTTAGTGAATTTAAAGTGTTCTTCAACTTATTAGTGATCAGTGTCAATAAATTTTATGTTAAAAACTCCTTTTTGTACATAATCATAAATGAAATGATATCTTATTTCAATGTGTTTTTCTTTAGAATGTTGTATGAGATTTTTAGACAGATTAATAACACT